CAAACTAATTTAGATGATTGGGAACTGAGATGTATCGGAAAGACTTTAGGGAAGATTGAAATTTCTAATCTTCCCGACCTAAGACATTAGGTTTCTGAATTGGCTTTCCCCGTGTGGCCTTGGAAGGGTTGCATATTTCTAATCTTCTTGAAGATATGTAAACGGAACACTCTGTCACACCTTCAGCCCCACCCCCGCATGGAGCTATGGAGCTGAGTGCTTCCAAGGACGTCATTCCTTGATAACAACACCTTTATCGGACTTTGCCAGGAGGCTGAGCAACGTGGTTTCATGGCCCTTTGACGTCACCGCCTTCACTCATGTCTTTGTTTTGCCCTTTGTTTTGTCTGAATGTTGCCATCTGCCCTAATGTGTCTTTTCCTCTTTTTTTGTTTTTCTTCTTTCTTTCTTTCCTTTGGTTTGTTATTTTGTTTGTATTTTCTTTTAATTCATGTAAAGCACTTTGATTTTGCCTGTTGCTGAAAATGTGCTATACAAGTAAAATTACCTTACCTTACCTTTGAAGCTGCAGTATGTAACTTTTATAAAAAATATAGATATATTAAAACTATCACCATATATTGATATAATATAAATATAAAAGAATATAATAAAACTGTGAAAAAATGTAGCTCCTCTGTCTTCTCCCTGAGGTCCAGTTGTCATCTGCACAAATGCACTGTGGCTCTGAAACAACCAATCAGAGCCAGGAGGAGGGTCTTACTGCTGTCAATCATCCTCATGTACTCATTGCTCATACCCTCCCCCTTTTCTCTGACGTGCTACAGCTGGTTCCCCACAATGGAGGCTGCGGCCCCATTATGAATGCTTAGGCTAGTTAGCACGGCCACCAATGACAGCGGATAAACAGTTTTCCTGGAATGGTAAGTTTCTCCACATTTAGCAGCACATACACAAGGTTGATTGACAACGATAAGACACGCCTCCTGGCTCTGACTACATGTTTTTGATTAGGAGCAGTGTATTTCTGTATATGTCAATAGTAGCAGTGGGAGGAGGTGGAAGATTTTGATCTTTTCAGAGATTATCCATGTCACATGGTGATATTTTTAACAAGTCTCTAAAAACTATTTTTTGTAAAAGTTACATACTGCAGCTTTAAGAGGGAAGCCATCTTCAACTCAGTTCTAGACTCAGAAATTGGGATTGGCATCTTCAGGCACAAAAATACAAGGATAAAAATGGCTAACAGCAGCTAATAACTTTGGCTACGAGATTATGAAAGCTATTATAAGCTATTATAATCCCAATTATTTAACAATATATTGGGTTTAAGAACAATAAATATGATATGGACAGGAATTTTCCTGTGATACTTTGTTGTTGAATCTTTTCTTAATATAACTGTATTAAAAGGTAAGAAATTAGATACAAAATAAATCCAGTAGGGAAGTGTACTTCAGCAATTTCTGAATTACAGAATCCTAAATAAAAAAATAGCAAAAGATATTAAAATATAAAAAAGAACTGAACGTCGGTGCGACGATGGCACAGAATGTAGAGCAATCAGCCACATGTTCAGAGGCCGGAGTCCTGGATGCGGCCGTCACAGGTTCCAGTCCAACCACTATGACTTTTGCTTCCCCCACTGCCTGCTTTTCGGTCAATCTACAGTGAAATGAAGGCCACTAGAGCCAAAAAAACCCCAAAAAAAAAAAAAAAAAAAAAAAAGAAATGAACTTAACTTAACTTACAAACTAAATTAATTGTAAATATTAAATAACAAGAAATGGTAACACTTTATTTGAAGGGGGTTGAATAAGACTGACATGACACTGTCATAAACATGACATAACACCTGTCATGAACATGAATAAGCCTTCATGAATATTTATGACTGTTGTCATAAAGTGTCATTCGGTAAATTATGACACTTTTAATACAAAGTTGACATTATTCAAAATGTCTTTATGACAACTTGACATTAACCAAGAAATCATTACTGTTTAAACTTTACCTTTAATAACATAAAGTTGCCTGATTTTTAAAGTGCAATCAGTAATACTTTTATAACAAATTTATATCAGTAATGATTTTTTAGTTAATGTCAAGTTGTCATAACAAAGACATTTTGAATAATGTCAACTTTGTATTAAAAATGTCATAATTTACTGAATGACGCTTTATGACAACAGTCATAAATATTCATGAAGGCTTATTCATGTTCATGACAGGTGTTATGTCATGTTTATGACAGTGTCATGTCAGTCTTATTCAACCCCCTTCAAATAAAGTGTTACCCAAGAAATTAATAATAATCATGAATTAGTTATTTTGACCAAACAAATTTACTCATATTTTAGTCCAGATCCTAAAAGACTTTTCACATTTAAGCACATGCTGACAAGTGTTTTAATTCAAGACTCCCTGTATATATTATTTAATAATAAATCACCCAGTCTTTGAATTTGAGGAGGCTGCACAGATTTGTCGTAATTCATCTGTCATGTTCTATCAACCACCTGTTAATTCATACCTGCCAGGCTGCCCTCCTCCTGATAGTTAGTTGACTGTGCTATAAAATGGCACGATATGTCTGGAAAAGACATAACACTGCCCTTTTAAATGTTGCAGCTCTGAGTTAGAAAACCTTCTGCTGGGACCAGGCCTGTCATGATATTTAATCCAGTCTCTTGTGTGTTTCAGCTACATCATTGACGGCGCCACAGCGCTGTGGTGTGCAGCTGGAGCCGGACACTTTGAGGTAGTTCACCTCCTGGTGAGCCATGGCGCTAACGTCAACCACACAACCATTACCAACTCCACTCCCCTCCGGGCTGCCTGCTTCGATGGTCGACTGGACATCGTCCGCTACCTGGTGGAACACAACGCCGACATCAGCATCACCAACAAGTTTAACAACACCTGCTTGATGATCGCTGCCTATAGGGGCCATGTGGACGTGGTTAAGTTCTTGTTGGAGCAGGGTGCCGATGTCAATGGCAAGGCTCACTGCGGGGCCACAGCCCTGCACTTCGCAGCAGAGGCAGGCCATCTGGAAATTGTGAAAGAGCTCATGGACTCCCAGGCTGCCATGCGGATGAATGGACATGGCATGACACCATTAAAGGTAGCTGCAGAGAGCTGTAAAGCTGATGTGGTGGAGCTGTTGATGGCTCATGCTGACTGCGACCCTCCCAGTCGCATCGAGGCTTTGGAGCTGCTGGGGGCGTCTTTTGCCAATGACCGGGAGAACTATGACATCCAGAAAACATACCAGTACCTTCACATGGCCATGACGGAGCGCTACCATGACCCTGACAACATCATTGTGAAGGACTTGCTGCCACCCATTGAAGCTTATGGGGGGCGTAGTGAGTGTAAAACGCTCCAGCAGCTGGAAGCCATCCGGGTGGACAGGGATGCCTTGCACATGGAGGGGCTCATGATTCGGGAACGCATAATGGGCTCAGACAACATTGACTTGTCGCATCCCATCATTTATCGAGGAGCAGTCTGTGCAGACAACATGGAGTTTGAGCAGTGCATCAAACTGTGGCTTCATGCCCTTCGACTCCGGCAAAAGGGGAACCGGAACACGCACAAAGATTTGCTGCGCTTCGCCCAGGTGTTCTCCCAGATGGTGCACCTGAAGGAGGTGGTGTTGGCCTCAGCAGTGGAGCAGGTCCTCAGCTGCAGTGTCCTGGAGATTCAGCGCAGCATGGCTCGAGTTGACAAAGCGGTTGAATCCGAGCTGCCACAGGCCATGGACAATTATGAATCCAATATTTTTACTTTTCTTTATTTGGCCTGCATCTCCACTAAGACTAACTGCAGTGATGAGGAACAAGTCAAGATTAACAAGCACATTTATGACCTGATCCAGCTGGATCCACGGACACGTGAAGGCTCCTCACTGCTCCACCTGGCCATCAGCTCCAGCACACCTGTTGATGATTTTCACACCAACGACGTCTGCAGCTTCCCTAATGCCAAGGTGACCAAGCTGCTTCTGGACTGTGGTGCTCAGGTAAATGCAGTGGATCACGAAGGAAACACTCCCCTCCACGTTATTGTCCAGTACAACCGACCAATCAGTGACTTCCTCACTCTACATGCCATTATCATCAACTTGGTCGAGGCTGGGGCCCACACAGACATGACCAACAAGCAGAAGAAGACTCCGCTGGACAAAAGTACCACAGGTGTGTCTGAGATCCTGCTGAAGACCCAGATGAAAATGAGCCTGAAGTGCCTGGCAGCACGTGCTGTCCGACAGCACCAGATCACTTATCGCAACCAGATTCCCAAAACTCTGGAAGAGTTTGTGGAGTTCCACTGAACTCAGATCAGAAAACTCAGAGGTAGGGTCAAATCTGTTGTTTCTTTCAAACAATGGATTCATAAGGTGCTGAAAGTAGTTCACCAGTAAAGTTTTTAAAGCATTTTTATGTTGATAAAACCTATTTTTTTTATAAATGTTGGTTTTGCAGACTAACACACCTGCATAAACAGGCTGTCCTGGTTGATGTGCGTAGAATTGCTTCTACGGCTCATTTTTTTGCAATAAACCAGAGAAATCCCTTTTAAGTTCTGCAGAGATTTTCTGACGGTTTGGTGAATGTGTATTTTTGAAATACAGAGAAGACACAGGTTGGTCCTTTCATCCTTTGTGTTATGTCATACATGCCATGTTACTGTGAAAAGGTTGTCAGACAAAATGAATGGGTGCCTATGAAGAAATGCACAGCCAGCCTCGCTTGGGTTCCCTGTATTCATCTCATGAATTGTATTTTTAGAATTAAAACTATTTTATTGAATTTATTTAAAGAACTTTCTTAAACCGCTCAGAAAAAATAGTTTGGACAGAATTAGTAACTATTGGATATGTTCAGGAAAACATGTTTTTTTTTTCCTATTTGTTTGACTTTAAATGTCATTGGAAAAAAAGTTTTTGGTTTTCTATTTCTCTGACTCATCAATGCATTGAACAGAATTACCAGCAACAGATTTCTAAGGGGTCATTCTGTGGGGTGGCATGAGGCAGGGGTCTGGAGTGTGTTTCGTATTCTGCTCCATGAGTGGATGTGGTTAACCTCTGTGCATCCATCCACACACCATGCAGCTGCTGGATATGTCCTGGTTATGCATTTATGAGGCATGTTGTCTCTGAAGACTTCCTCAATGTTTTGATTATGTTGGAAATGTCAGAGACTCCCAACAACTGCCTAATAACACTTTTGGTAATGGCCAAATGCCCCCTGCTGGCCATTTTAGACTTAGCAGCTCCTTGCAAATGAAATCTTTAACTTGCTGCTCTGCATGTTTGGCAAATTATGGCCATTTTTTTTTTTATCTTGCTAACTTTTATGTTTGTAAATTATTGCATGAGGGTGATGATTGGTGCTGTCATTATATATATATATATATATATATATATATATATATATATATATATATATATATTATTTTTTTTCCCTTGGTATTATTGGTAAATTATCAATAAAACCAGTTTAAGTTGATCATGTTTTGAATATGGTCTAATTCTTGGTACTGGATTTGTTCTGGTTCTTTTCATAATTAAAGTGTATTTATTCTAATCTTTATTATGTAGCAAAATGAACATCAAAGTTTTCTAAAAGTTATTGATACACAGCAAAGACACAATCAGCCAACCCCTGGTTTCTTTAATAATTCAGAAATAGAAGGTTGTCTTTGTGGGAGTTCCTCTACTGGACAAATATCTTTAGTGATTAAAAAAATGAAACAAATAAGTAATTTTTACTGTATTTTCTTCAACAGAGATGAAATTGAATTCCATGTGTATTATAAGATAGAAACAAGATTTATTTATTTTTTTTCCCAGCACTGTGAATGAGTAGTTTTACTTGAAAGTGATCAGAAGTCAGAGTGAATTATGATGAAGAAATCTCCTCTTGGCAGCTATACTGCTAAGTCCTGTTTAAAACAGTCAAGCGTTTCTTCCCAGATGGATTTACATGGTGAGGAATTCTTTTGCTTTAAGCCTGGGAGACCTGGCTGATATAGAACATCAAAAAAAGTTCAACTTTGTAAAAGGTTTTATAGGAGTACCTTGCAGATTTGTTGGTAAGGTCTCATGAAAAAATATTACTTTATTATTACTTTATTATGTTGCCCAAAACTTCCAAACTGATCACCCAAACAAAGACTTGACTTTTATTTTGAAGTCAAAAAGAAGGAGAGGGTTGGCTTAGGAAGGGGTGCTTATATGCACAATTTTTATCCAGTATCATTCCAAGACTGAACCACGGGGATCGATCTTTATGTTGGGGTAAAAAACAGAAAAAAATCAACATGTGCACTTCTTTTGTTGTTTGGATGAATGCTCTCATGCCATTCCTGCTGTTGTCTGCAGTTTGGTGGACATTGTAAATCGTCTTCATTGGGGCTGATGTCCCAATAGATTTTCCTTCGTAGTCCAGTATAAAGCTTGTGGTGGAAAACTGAATCATATTCTGAATAAGGTGATAGCAATACGCTTTGTGAAATTAGGTAGAAAATTTGGGAAGTGGCTGTTTGGTTCCCTGTGCGTCAGTACTGCTGGAACATGTTGGTAGTCTGGCCAAAGCATATTGAATAGCTTGGAGGTGTGAAGGGGAAAATTTATCCAAGCCAGACTTGGCATTGCATAATCTAAATACAATGACAGTTGTATGGAATATTCATTATTATACTGCGACTATGTGTTGCAACTGTTTTTAAATTTTTTCCCTCTCTCTGTATGCTGCTGGTTTCGGCCAGGTCCGTCTTGAAAAAGAGAACTTTTGATCTCAATGGGACAAACCTGGTTAAATAAAGGTTATTATTGGATCAGTCAACAGTCAAAATCCACAGAAGAATCAAATATTGAACCAAGACCTCAAATGCTGGACTTCGGAGGTGGAAAAAAAACAAAAAAGAATCTGAGTGACTTTTGTAAATAAAGCAGGAGCTGCTCTAATGAGGGTCTCAGTCTTATTATGTAAAACAAGGTTAGAAACCCAGTCTGAGATAAGAATGAAAGAAGCCAGAGAAATTTTCTTGTCCTTTTTGGGAAGTTTTGCTAAAAATGTTCTCAACTGTGATTCTAGTAATTGTATGATTTTTTTTCATCAACTTGTGCTGAAAAAAAGAAAATTATGCCTCATGGCATTGCAATAATCTAAACACAATGCTTGATAAGATTGATATTTTATTGAACAAATTATTTTCCTGCAAAATCAAACAAACATCTGAAGTGATTCCGTATGTGTTGGGGTGTGCACCATCACACTGAGGACTATCATGGTTTTAATGTTTTGTGTATGTCTGCTATACACACTAAGAATCTTCAGCATAAAAAAGAATAAAATAACACACACCTTAAAAATGGTTAAAGGTGTGTGTTATTGTGCTTTATATGACTGCTTTATATCCAACAGTAATGCCCCTATCCTCACTGTTCATTAAAGTTTATACTTTACACAGATAAAATGAATAATAAACATAGTTTTAAACAATATTCTATCTTTAATGCCTTGATGATTTGCTTTGGTTTAAAAAGTAGTGAGTAAAATGACAGGAATCCTAACTTCAGGAGGTGAGCGCTTCGGTTTCCAATAAAACATCCAAACAAGCCATCCAAATATTACATGTAGTCAAATAGATATGGGGTTTAGCTCATATAACACAATTCTTTACACATTCTTGCCAGCTATTAAATAAAATACAAATAAATATGCTGATTCATTTAGATTTTCTTTGCACCATAGAGCCATGTATAAACAGCAAAGAATACCTGGACAGAGTGTTATACAGAGTGGGGTGAGATGACCTGACATGGAGAATGAGGTCCAAATTATCCATGATATTTTGACTGTCACCATAATTTAGGAGTAAATTTAGTTTGTTTTACATATTGATCAGTAGGAACCAGGTCTTGTACACATGTCAATGACTTTACATGTGTATAATGCAAGCTGTGTTATAGAAACCTGCATACCTCTGTCTAACTCTGCAGTAGTTTCTCTCAAAACATCATTAAATGTCATTAATTGTCTTATGAAATACACATCACTATTTCCACTGACTGGCTGAGGTGCTGGTAAATGAATACTTCTTATACTCAATATGAACCGAGTACTTTGTCAACTGCAAGCAAAATCTTAATTATTTCACCTCAGTTTGGTGGAAACAGTTTGCAGTGTTCGTTGTTTATCTAAAAAGCTTAATGCCTTTTTAGGTTAGCAATTCAGTCAAGGTCTGTCAGTAACAGACCTTGACCGTTTGGTTTGAAGTGCAGATTGAAACTCGTCAAACTGCTTTATAGCTGCATCTCTGCATTCCCATTGGTGACGGGCTGCTCCTCCTCTTCCTGACGTCTCCGTCTTTTGAAGAATCCAAGCTGTGAAAAAAATCATGGTAAGTTGTTAATGTGTACCCTAAGCACAGTGGGTCGCTGGCGCTTTACACTAGAACCACATTCACCCATTCATATTCAAACACTCACACATTAATAATGCATTAAGTATGCAGATCAGTAGGCAACTTGGGGTTAAGTGCCTTGCCCAGCGGCACATCAACATGTGACAGTAAGAAACTGGAATCAAAATAGAGCCCAGATAAAGTGGAGGTGTGGGCTGACAGTAGGTTTGTGTACCTTCCATAAGCCCAGAATGACTAAGCAGAGCAGCAGCAGGCCTCCCAGGGAGCTGCCCAGGATGATCCAGATGGGGATGGAGCTGGGTCCCTCTTTTCTCAGATCCAGGATGGTCTGCATTGAAGCAATGAACAGTCACAAATCATTTCCTGGCTGAATCTGATCCTCCTTGTGCTGTTTCTGATGTTGACATTTGAAGAGGCACACATGCATGTGTGTCTTAAGCACACATGACTTGTGTCTTAAGACACAACACGTTTTTGCAGAAGGAGAAGCTAACATGAACTTCTTTTAATCTTAGACTTGACTATAATAACACCTTCCTCTTCAGTTTAAATATAATATAAGCTGAATCCTCGTGCTCTAAGAATATAAACTGTACCTGTTTGCTGCTGTTAACAGTAAAAGTTTGTACACAGCAGATACAGAGTTGCGATTTAGTTCAGTTACTTCTAACTTTGTTCTCAAAAAAGTTGAAATAGCAGCAGAGATTGTGTCATTCAATTCTTTAAGTGCAATTTAATCAGCTGACATGTATAAAAAGAACTGATATTTTAAAACATTTATAAACATTCATAAACATTGTCTTAATAGAAAAAAATTCTCACATTCACATTGTTTTGCTTGAAAACAGCTTTTATGAGAGTTCAGACCTTGACAGAACAGATAATTAAACAGAGAAGAACCTGGCAAAGGAAAGGTTTACAAACACACATTCATAGTGCATGATCTCATGATTGACAGACAATTGTTTTATATGTCATTAATTGTTTTGATAAATGAATGAGAGCTAATTCATAGTTGTGCTGAGCTTAGATAAGAATATTTAGGTGCTAAACTTTGAACATAAGTTCATTTATTTTGGAACTAGTTCAAGAAATGTGATTCTTGATAAATGGCACATCACTGACTCTATATCAAACTACGATTAATTGTCAGATGGTAAAAGAGAGAGAATTCAACATTAAGCATTCAGCAATTAAATTAGAAATCAAACAAATTGGTACAAAGCAGCAGTGTTGGCGAACAGGTGGTCTCCGTCACATTTATGGTCATGTGAAAATCTTCAAATATTTTGGGTAAAATTACTGTACATTTTAAAAGCAGTCAATATTTCAAAGGATCCCAAAATATGATTTGTGGGTTTGGAACCTGATTATTCTAATTACGCAGAAGTCACTGTTCAGTATGTTCAGTATGCATTCTGGCTTTAAAGGCAGAGTTTGGCACATTTTTGATACATTTCAGTTAAGAAAACTAAATAAGAAATACTGTATTTATTAAGTTTGATAAACATAAAAGTTTCACTTTTTTGAAATTAATTTAATTGTATTATTTTCTCAAACTATCCATGCCAGGAATATACCTGGCATGGATATTCATGTCAGGTATATTCATGTATAATCATACATGTTCATACATAGTGAACATGTATGAACATGTATGATTTAAATAGATATGTAGGTTAACTAGTTAGTAGAAGTCAGGACAGTGTTGTACCTGTCGTACCTGTCCATGTACCTGTACATGGATAGGTAAAACTGTGCCCATATTGGAGAATAAAACATGTCACAACCTAGTGAATACTAGGTTGTGTACTTGAAAGCAGCGTTTCATGTACAGCCTGGTGGAGGCAGCTGGGTTTGGACTTTAGCTGATTTTTCTCAGGTAAAATTAAGTTTCTCTAGTTTATCTAAAAAGCTTAATGCCTTTTTAGGTTAGCAATTCAGTTAGTTATGTAGTTTATTGTTGGAAAATGCGTATGCTGACATAAAGTTTTTTGTTTGTATCAGCAACCTTAGTTTTGCCAAATAGCAGAGCTGGGTGATAGCTGGGATTCTCTCAGTTAGTTTGGTTTTCACTTTTTGAAGTTGTGTTACAAAATATTGCATAACCCTGCACCTAGTTAAACAACATTCTGCATATGTTCTGAACCTGTAGTGCACCCTTACTGATAGTGAACATGTCTGAACATGTATGATTTAAATAGATATGTAGGTTAACTAGTTAGTAGAAGTCAGGACAGTGTTGTACCTGTCGAACAAGGATATCCTCCTGAAGAAACATCGGATTGGTCTTCTCTAGCTGTATTGTGGTAACAGTCAGCAGCTCTAAGGACCTGAAACTCACCTGTAATTTAGGTGGATGTCAAACACAAAAATTAAGTTTGTTACTAGATGAATCCAATTTCTCTCAGTATCCCTGACACTTTTAAATACAAGCTTTAGGGGTACATTGGGAAATGCAGACTAACCAACCACTTCATCGGGTACACCTGCTAAGCTGCTTGTTATCACAAATAGGAGTTTCATCTCTGAATTGTCTGAACATCTCAAAAACTGGTTGAAGCTGGCAGTGACTTTATGGTATGTTGATGGATTTTAAACTCATAAACATAAACTCCAACAGAGCACCAATGGAATTTGGTTGAAAATCATTCAAAAGTACTTTACCGATCCCAAATGGAATGAGTTATGTAAATGGATGCACAGCCATTGAATGAGCTGCAACTTTAAGGCACTGTAATGTCAAGATCTCAGAGATGCTTCCAACATTTTTTGTTGAATCTAAACATGAAGAACCTAGGCATTTCAAGGTAAAGAGAGATTTGACTCATACCTGTCAAGTCAAGTCTCCCATTTTGACCAGATAACTACAGTCTTTTACCCCCATTTCCTGTTGTGCTCCCATATTTGTATTTTCTCTGACACCCTCTCACCTCCCCCACAGTACATTAAAATTATGGCAAAAACTGACAATTTGGGTTCTTGATGGGATATCTTGTTGTATAGTAGAATATCTGCCTTCTAAGAAAATATACCTTCTTAACTTTAAACTGAAGGTTAGAGTTACATATCTTGGTAAACTCTAGAGAACTGTAATTCATTCAGAATTCTTAAAAATCATCACAAAGCTGACATGTATTTGCATTGTTCATATTAATTGTATCTAGCACTAAATTACCCAGAATTACTGGAAATGTTAAAAATAATTTGGCAGGAAATCGCCATCCAGGTTCCACAGTAATAGCTGAGAGTGCATGTAGAATTTATTTGTCTCATTATTTTTCACTTGTTTTGATGGAACATTAAAAACAAGGTATTGTTTATATAACTACCTGATAGCTGCCAGTCTAGCAACTGTT